TTAATACTGAAGTGAAGGGTTGCAAAATTTGATAAGGCGGTAAAAATTTATTATGTGGAACAAATCAATCTTTTTTGATTTGTAATTTTTTTTTTTAAAAAAAAAAAAGGTTTAACAAGCAATTTAATATTAATATTAATATTAATATTTAGTTAATTGGCGTTTACTACTCCTTCTCCTGCGGAGAAAAGCAATCCGTCGTTTTTGTTTTATTATTATTGCTTTGTTTATTATATATAATATTAACTTGCAAATAAATTTGTGCACGTGCCGCCGCTCACTCATTTCGACGTTTAACTTAAAATCTTGTTAAGATTAATAGTAAACTAGAGTATGCGAATATGCCAGTCACCGGATTTTTTTTTTTCTAGTTAAAAAATTTGGCAAGATTTTAAAATTTAATAAATAATAATATTACATTATTAATATTGTCTATAATGGTAAAGGAATTGATATTTTCTCTTTTGGGCGATTGTATTCTTGGATCATTGATTGATCTGTTATAATTACATTTTTATCAAATGAAGGTTTTCCCAAGAAGTACATTTGCTTAGTGCAGCATATGCTTGACCTGGGAAAATATTTCAGAATCTAGTGTAATTGAAACTGATGAAAGGCTTATACTTTGTGTTTTGTGAGGGCAAAAGCATTTTGTAAGGAAATTGTGTCCTGGAAGCAAATGAATCATTTAGATAAAATTTCGAAGTATATTCTGATATTTCTAAATCTATAATTCTTCCATTTATAAAAAAACAATTCTGACTAAATCTTGAGTATGATCTATATCTGCAATTACACCAACAGTTCCATTACAAATGCCTTTTTCAACCATATTATTATTAAGGTACATTACACATGCACCTTGTTATAGAATAAAATTATGTGTAATATATCATTCTTTTTGTTTTTCTTTAGATCTTGAACTTCTTTTATTTACATTAATTATTTCATTTGATGCTAAGTCAGAAGGTTTAATTTTTTTTTTGCATTTGACAATTGTACTTGTTGTTTAACAGATTGATTAGTTGGTTGACTGGGAAGTTCAGTACTTTGTTGGAGTTCAAGTTCTTGAAATAATTGTTATGATTCCTGTTGAGGTTTAGATTGTTGAAATTCAGGTTCCTGCTGGAATTGTTGAGGTAGTTGTTGAAGTGAAGGTTGATTGTTTTTTTTGATTAGTCAATTGAAGTTGTTGTTGAGGGGTTGGTTATTAGGTAATTGATTTTGATGATTATTTTGATTAGGTAATTGTATTTGTTGTTGATTTTCTTCTTAAGAAAAAATTCATTAGCCAAGTTTTTTCTTTTGTGGGTGACGAGAAGATGAAGATGTTTGATAAAGTTCAATAAGTAGTATGGTATAATTATGGGCATTAGTATATTATAAAGCAAAACCGTCATTTTTAATTTTTTTGGCATAACATTTTGATTTTACCAATGCAGATGGATAGATTACCATAGCAAGTTTTTAATCACAAATAATTGATTGGTTTAGATTGTTAATTAGTAAAAACGTCTTTTTATATCTTGCATGAAAACCAGTCTTGTCAGTGTACTCTTTGATTAAAAAAAAAATTTTTTTTGCTCAATGAATAAATTATATTTGTAAATAATTTTTAAATTGTGTTATACAAAAAAAACAAGATATTGAAACTAGAAAAAAAATTTTAATCATTAATCAGACAACATGTTCTCTCAAGTAGTAGACGGGTCTAATTATTGTACAATGCATGAATTAATTAATAAAAGATCATAGTAAATCTTTAATTGTATTCAAACAAAGGAAGTTAGAACAGTCATTTTAGTTATTCTTTTATTTGTGTCATTTTTTGATCTTAAAATTCAAAAATGGTGAAATTTATAGATTTAAGAAATCTTTATTATTTTTGTTTTGTTTTGTTTAAATTTATAACTTAAGATCATCATCATCTATAAATTATCCCATCTAATTCTACGAAACAGGCTTAGTTCTGATGGTTCTCTAGGCGTTTTTTTAAAGCATTTTGGCTTGGAACTATAATTTATAAGAAAATAAATTTCATGTAAAGCAACTCTATTTATAAACAGGTTATAACATAAATTTTAACAAATAAAATAATATTCCATGTTGCAATCAAAAAAAGAGGCTAAAAAATGTTGTACAAAAAAATTGTTTATTGTAACAAGTTAATATTAATTAGTTTTGACTAAATAAAACTAAATAAATAAAATAGTAATATTTTATTTAAACAAACTATCATCTTCCTTAACCAAAATTATTTGCTAATACCAAAATTAATTTGTTAATAACCTATTCATTCTGATCCACACATAAACAAAAATAATTGATATCACCCATTAAAATACACTCCCAAATTTAATTGGTGACAAAAGCATAAATATATATTTGCAGAAATTGTTACTATGATTTAGTATAAATAAATTGGAAGAAATTGTATTAACATTGTTGGCATATTATTTTAAACAATATTGAGATTTGCTGCGAGACATAGATTTTTATCTCAATTTTTATTAGTGTCTATAGATATAAAATGTTAAAACAGTATATATAAATGTTGAATATAAAAATACTAATAAAATAATAAATAAATAATACTAAATGATG